GAGTGTCTTTGGTGTTTCATGATATTGTCCCAACAAACTTGTTAGGTGTGAATTATTTATCCTTAGTCCTATTTTGACGCTTACGAGGAGTTAGCTGTAACAAGCTGCATATCTTTTTCAACCTGCATTTTCATTTTCATCGTCTCATATTCGACGTGGCACTCTTTTACTTTCAAAACAAGATATTGAAAGAGGTAATGGACCATCATTCTTCTCATCAAGGTGTTGATCAACTCTGTTTGATTGCCTTAAACGTCATAATAGTATGAAACATCCTTATCTTTAGGAAATTTTCCGTACAGTTTGCCTTCATCTGTTATTGCTACTCTGAAGTTGTTCAGTCCAACATCTTAATAGTTTTTAGAGTACAACTTTGCACCCTAATCGTCGCTTTTTGAGACGCTGGATCTTCAAGACCAAGACCAACCAATGCAAGACCAGAACCCAGTATTTCCACAAATAGAATTTCTTTCTTTAAAGATTCATTTATATTAGATTACTCGAAAAGCTATTCAATTAAAAAATGTCTATGTAGAAAGTGCTTCTTGTAAAATTTTTAAATAATTGTAAACAAGAGTCTTGCAGCCCAGACTAGGGCTGGACGCTGCAAGAACAAGACCAAGGAAGTCTCGGTTGTGTTCACTAATCACTTTGCTCATCACTAATATCCCAGTTCTTCCTTCCTCGTTGTTTATTTCTCTGTCAGATGTTTATCCTTATGCTGCCTTATTGTTATAACTTTTTTTACGTCAGGATGTTTCACAGTTTCTTTGAACACGCTATGGAATTTCTTATATTAGAATAATGTATGTAAAACGAGTATCTTTAGGGTTTTTTTAATGGCTGTAAATACTGAGCGTTAAATATTCCTTACAAGATAATCTGAATACTCCAGACTTTTAATGCCCTCATACAAGAGAACATATAATGAAAGAGAGAAACCGAACACGAGCCTCACAAAAGTAAATACTGCTTAACTTGACCGAACTAATGGCTTTAAAAGTCGCCGCTTAGGCGTTATGCGTGATTCTCTCCGGTTTAATATTTCTTCGGAGCTTATGCCCACGGTTCATTTAGATAAATGCGATTTTTTCGAAGCCATCCGGCGCATTTTCCAGCTTATCCTAACAAATGGCCGCCATTTGTGTTTGATTGCATAAAAATTAACGGCTATCGGTAAAGGAAATAAACACGTATGGTCAACATGTACAGGACCGGTGGTAGGTTCATTGTTATATGTTGTATATCAAAAAAAGTAATTTGTAAGCACCACATTAGTCAAATATATTAGAAGACTGACTATATTGCTAGGAAGGAACAGAAATTGAAGCCAAATTTTTGAAATGGAGCTATACAAAATCCACATAAACCGGTCCTTTTCGTTCAACAGATTTGAACTACGCAAGCGTGAAAAGTGCTTCGCCATAGGCTTCGCGATTAGTTGATGTATTTCATACTAACCAATAGAAGTAGTTTTCTAAGTTTCTATCTATCACGTAAATCAGTTTAGCGTCTGACTATTCGCGCCTTTACTTATAAGTTTAAATTTAATCTCTGACATATTTAAACAAAAAACAGAAAAGGATAGATATGATGACTATCTAAAGTAAAAGGCTTTGTCACGGTGAAGATTTTTTTTGTTGAATTGTGCCACACACTCACATGTGATCTGCGATACTTCCGATACATATTCATAACAGCCACAGCACTCATTATATTCACATAGGTCCTTTTTAGCCGACCAACAGGTATGGTAGGCTATTAAGATCGGCAAAAAAAAGTATTTTTAATTTCACTCAAAATGAGTTATTTGGGTCATAAATGACCTAAAAACTCCAAAATTACAGTAGCTAGCGAAACGCCGGTTTTCAATTTAAGATTAGGAATAATATTTGCAACAAAATTTGTAATAACATCAAAATCAGTCAAAGTCGCAGTTTTTGAGATATTCCGTGTTTCCGTAGTCCGTTTTTGAGAAAATCCGTGTGGAGAACTCCAAACTCCCATCGGACGCGACCCCAGGTGGCGGATAGGGGAAATAACCGCGGACCAAAATTGAAAAAATTCCTTTACTTTGAAACTAAAAGAACTGCCTACCAACTTTTTATTAACATATTTTAATATGGGCGGCTATATGTGCCTCCCGGCGCCAAACCAAACCGAGACTTAGAGTCTTATTGCTTTGGCTTTTGTATAAGGAAATAATGCCAAGACCAAGTAATGACTTGTTAAATACTAGATTTGAAAATTGTAATTCATTCAAATATATATCGAAGTTAAAATGTAAAGATAAAGGTAAATCAATTTCACCTTTTAACATTTATCTATGAGAACTACAATAGTATGTTTATTTTATAATTCATCACACCCCGAGATAAAGTTCTAAGTTCTAAGTAAATATGTGCCAAATAATGACTTGTTAGATACTAGATCTGATAATTAAAGATATATTGAGATTAAAAATGTAAAGTTAAATGTAAGTAAATGTCACTTCTGACATTTGTCTATAGGGACTACAATACATAGATAAATGAAACAAGTTTAGATTGGAAAGCCCGTAAATATTTTGAAAAAAAAATAAAAACAGAAATAATTTTCTCTTGTCCATATCTCTTGTCAAAGTCAGAATCTTCAAAAATTATAAAATCTTTCAAAATCTAAACCGCTCTCATTGAAGAAATTCCGAAAAGTGTTTATAGTGTCCGTTTTCGAAGTAATTATTGCTATCTTGTGAGTTTAATTCAAGTTTTTTTGGTCCAACCCGTGATAATTGTGAAAAAGCAGCATTAAAAACTAAAAAACTGTGTTGTGAACTGTGAACTGCAAAAACCATCGTGGATCGTGGCATAACGTCGGTTTCCAATATTTCATAGGTATTTCACATACATGTCCTTATATAAAATAAAGTATCTTGTATGCAACACACTGTATTTTATTTATAAGATTAAAAGAAAATAATAATAAATTTGAATAAACAATATTTGGCGATATAATTCCGGAAAAAGCCGAACCGCTCGGAAATTTTCAAAAGCTTTGGGTCGCGAACGTTGCAAGAATAGCGCCAAATAGTGTTTATATTGTCCTTATGGGCACTTTCCAATCTAAACTTGTTTCATTTATCTATGCTACAATTATGTTTTTTATGCATTGTGGTGGATTCTCCTGTCTTTCCAGCAAATCAGGATATTAGGAAAAAGGAATAGAAAATTTCGACCGACGACATCCCAAAAATGAGATAGTTTAGACAATTTACCTATGAATTACAATGGCAGACATAACTGCCACTGTCACGGATCCTCTCATTGAACAGACTATATACATATAGGAGGTGAATTATTACGTGTTTATTGAATATCTCAGAAACGGTAAAATCTATCTTAGTGAGTTTTTATTTATTTTTAATTATTATCAATTTAGGCTGCTAAAATTCAATTTAACTAAGTACTATCCTGGGTTTTCAGTACCAGCGTCTGTCTCTTCGCAATTCCTTATAAGCCATGGCGCAGTCGGTCGAGTCTGGCGCGTGTTTATTTAGACTACTTTCTATTTACTAGTCTGCGGTCGCGAGCCAATGTTTAGGCGCCCCCACATTAATATACTACCTATTAGAATCCTTTCAGTCGTACCGAAGATCGAAGATCAAAACGAGTTTTGAACCAAATTTGAACAATTTTGAGCAAGCCGATTTTAAGTAATTTAAGAAAAATTGCACCTATTTTAAAATTAAAACTGAACAGGTTGCCATACAATGCCAGGCAAATGCCAACGTACCTTAAGTTGTCATCATATAATTTTGTCAATGTCAAACTGTATTTTCTAAACGTCAGTCTTTTGCCTCATTCGATCCAGTTTTAAATTACAAAAATACATTTCAGGGCCACAGCGTAGGTATTTTAACGTAGTAGTGTAGATAACACAACAAATTACATTTGACAATGATAAAATCATAGGCTAACAACTTGAGGAAGGAAGTTGACATTTGAATCAGACATTTGACATTGAACCTTCTCAGAGTTGTTAAGGGATTTTACACTATCGTCTCTCCCTTTGCATTTAAATATGTAATGTTCTTAAAAATAAACAAAATATATTATTTTTTTCCATATCAACTGTTAAAATTGCCTTATATCTATCAAAAATAGTAAAAAAATACTTTAACTTTAACCGCAAGGTTAGATTAACTTTATTTCTTCTCGCACGTTTTTAATTGCTTCCTTTTTTGAAAATTTTTGTATTCCTTTTCATAAGTTATTCGGAATTTAAATGGAAGTAGTTTGGATATGGCGTTTGTCGCCTCAGCCTGAATATCTGTTGGTAATTTACTTATTTCGTTTTGAGCCATTTCTGGCTCCAATTCAATCAGCGATCGACACGAAAGAGAATTAAAAAATATTGACTCAAAACTGACAACTAAAGAGACAGCTTTATTTATTTGTCAAATTACATAGAAGCCAACGCCAACCCAGCACAATATTTTTTCTACTCGTAATAAATTCCTTGAAATAATAATTTGTGAATATTGTTTTATACACGACGATAAAATTGCATTATCGTCTCCCGAAATTAATTATAATAAAATACCATTTTATCGTCTTATATAAAAAAATAACTATTTATCTACCCATTGAAGGGATACTGTTTTATTTTTAATGTAGGTATGGGTTATCTGTAGTATCTCCCACGGAAGTTTGGTATCTATCCTATTTTTTACACCCTGTATGATACACAGATTATTTCAACCTAGCTTTATTTTACTTACTTATTACTAATTAATTTATAGCATAGCTAATAGCTACTTTATTATCATCAAACTATCACAGAAAAGACGTTTTTTTTCAACAAAATGTCAGTGGCCAAGTTTACTACTTTGCATCAGAAATGCTGGTTTCGTTTTACCATTTTCGATCGTTTACATCGAACAGTTAATTAGTATATTACCGACGCCCACCAAGCTTTAAATACTCCTACTAGATTAAGAAGTTTTTTTCGTTTATTTTCAGGTCCCGATACCGTTCAAGACATCATCCCACAGAATGTAATGGAGGAAGATGAAAAAACCAGCAAACGTAAGTTTCACCATCTGTTACGTTTAATACAAAATAACAGTGGAAAAGTCTGCATATTTTGCCATTTTCTTTCATTAACAAGTAGACTTTACGTCTAATATTAAACTGTAATGATTTAGTGAAAATAAACTGAAAATAAAGCGATTAAATTAGCCAATAGACTTCTATTCTTTTAACTTCAAAAATTAGCTATATGTATACATGGTTAATTGAAACCCTGAAGTTTACAAATACTTTATACTGGATATTTACAAAATCGTTGCACAAACAGCATTTTCTTTAGATTTTTGAAAAACAAATCTGAAAAACTTTTCATTAAAAAAAACAGTAAAATACAATTTCCTGTTTAACTGACTGGCAGTGAAACTAAGCAGAGTCACAGTAAGATTTTTTACAAATTTTACCAAAATATTACAACTACGGATATTGGTCATATACAGGGTGTTTCAAAAAACATGTGCCATCTCTTCACATAAAAGTAGGGGGAGATTCCTCACATAAAAATAAGATTTATTTTTTATTAAGTATTAAAGTATTCTGCTTTGTACCAAGCTACAGGGGGTTAAAATTGTCTTTTTTCGATTTATTATAATTTTCTTCCAAGTACTTTTAGTGATTCAAATGACACTTTTTTAGTTATCACTAGAATATTTTTCTAAAAAAAAACATATGCGTCATTGACTTTCTTTTTCTTGTTAGCAAAATTATATAGGCTCTTTAATGCCGATTAAAAGTTGTATCTTGATATTGTCTATTTCGATCTCCTTGATTAGATAAACGCTATTTTATTAATCACAATTAATGAAATAAAATTGAAAATAGTAAATTATTTATTAAATCTAATTTATTACTAAATTTTATTAAAATTTATAGCACTGGTGTTCAGTGTTGTCTACAGTAAATTCAAAAAAAATAATGCTATTGAAGATAATTACAAAAGACCTAGTTTTTAAAAGTTTTAACATTTTGTAACTTTAAAACCATGCATTTCTGCATTCATGCTTAAATGAACATTTTTTCGTATTTTTTTTTATAAGAAATCAATGAGTACTAAATTAACACTTTGACCAGTTAGTGACATTAACAATTTTAAAGGTTGCTATTGACTTGGTTTCAGGCAAATTAATAAAATTGCGTTTATCTTATAAAGGAGACCAAAATCGACAAAATATCAAGAGACAAAACTTTTAATCAGCATTAAACGGTTTACACAATTTTGCTAATAAAAGAAAGAGAGAAAAAAATATCAGTAGCGCACAAGTTTTTTAGAAAAATATTCCAGTGATAATCCATTCTTAGTCTTAGTATTTCAAGTTTTTAGCATTAAAATATATCACACTTATGACTTTTGACCACAAAATTTCAATGGAATCGCTAAAAGCACATGGAAAAAAATATAAAAAATAAAAAATATTAAGATTTTAACCCTCTGTAGCTACGAAATCTAGCAGAATTGGATCCATGTTGATGTTTTTTGAACACCCTGTATAGGAAAATATTATTTCAATCTGATTCAAAAATGACACATTAAAATATTTATAGAGGACATTATATTATCAGACTTCTTTACAATTCTGTTTTATTTTATGTGCTTTTTTTTTGTCAATATGTAATTGTCATTTTATTTTCAGATTACGCGGCATTATTAACTGGCCGATCTTCTCTGGTCTTAAAGAACGAATTCACCAAGCCACTGAGCGACCTGAACAAGAGCAACGTGGTGGCGACCGGAAGGTTCACCTTCCATAAAAAGAATCTGTTTTATTCATTCTTCATATCGGAAAAAGCGGCCCGACCCCATTCGCTGCAATTTGTCGACGCTCAGGGCAACATCTTGGAGGAATTCACTTTGTCCACCTCGGGCGGATTCGTCAACAGCGTCTATCAGAATGCCTCGCGCAAGGTTTGCGGCGTATGGAGACGAATGGCCAAAGACTACAGGAAATTGTTGAAGCAGGAAAAAATGTACGCAGTGCTAGTGTGGGGGGTTAAAGACCAATCCGAGTTCACACTTAGCGGCCAACTGATGAAATACAGCGCCCTTGGAACGGAGTTAATGAGTTCTCTGCTGGAACCTGCTCCAGGATCCGATTCGGCATCTATGATGGGAACCGGAGGCACTGCGATAGTTTCCACTTCGACATCCGTAACGCCATCCATCAACGTAGTAATCATTTTTAACGGAATCTTTACACCGACGGAAAAAGAAGACATTCCAGTTAACGTCACTTTATCTATCGACGAAAAGAAACAAATTGTTGTGGAAGAAACAGTGCGTGTAGCCAAACCCGCCTCTGACATCAACGTAATAAGCATAAGTGCTATTGTTACGCAAGCCCAATTAAGGTACTTGACCAGAGGACATATGCTTCTTAGTATATCATCTGTATCCAAAAAGGAAGATCTAAAATTAAGCGGAAATGTTATCACCAAAGCTACGTGCGAATTGTTCCAATCAGTTCTATCATCAGCCTCGCCAAACGCTAACCCGGAGGGCGTTTCGGGAATGGCGTGGTTCTACATTAACAATGCTGGATCTCTGATTTATAATATACAAATTGATAAATTACCACCTAAAGAAAACCCACCGATCGTCACTCTAATTGACGTTAGTACCAAACGAAAAGCAGAAGTTGAAGACCTCACCTCCTATTTTCAAGGAGATGGCTGGGCTAATGGCACCATAGATAAACTCAGTCCCAAAGTTCTAGACCCGCTCTATAAAGGAGACTTATTCATTAACGTAGCTATGCGAGGCGATAATAACATTATCAGAGGAAAGTTAGTGCCTAAGCCTGTAGCAGATGCCAGAGACTCTCCGGCTCCTATCTTGTTAAAAAGAGAAAACAGCAGTCTCTCAGCTTCGGTTGGTGGTCTGGTGTGGCTAAGTGTGGACAACGACTGTCATTTGCATTACGACGTGTCGCTTTCTGGGTTGGGTGGTGACAGGAAACTGGAGTTGGGTCTGGAAATGTATCCTATGATTGCACCCGGGGCTCCATTTATTAGCAGACAGTTAGACCAATTTCAAGGAAATTCATTGGAAGGTAGTACAGTGGAGATTTTAGCCAGAGAAGAGGTAAATAGGCTGGATAATGGTGTTAGCTTGCTGAAAATCAAAGATCAAAACACTGGTGGGGTCTTACTCATGGCTACAGTAACAAAGGTAAATAATAGTGTGAGAACAAACTACAGTTCATACCAAATAAACTTTTAGTCACGTGATTAAGTACTAAACAGTTATGATTTACATCAACAAAACTCACCTTCTTAAAAGCACTTAAGGGACATAAAGGGTCATTACTACCGCTTTCCCTTTCAAAATATTCTAATAAGGTTGCGATGAGTTTTTTACGGTTATTAAGCTATCTTGTACCACTTTGCACTAAAAGAGGTTCTAAAAAGAACAATGTTCGTCTGCAATGTCTGCTAGTAAACATTTTTAAGCTTAAAGTATCACGGCACTATTTATTTAAACCAAAAACTCATATTAAAAAACTAAAGTGTCAAAACGAATAACAATGTCAGGAAATAAATAAAGAAATGCGGCCACTTCACATTTTTTACAGCAGAGGTGCCACCTGAATTCCCAGCGGGAAATTTAAATTCCACTTAGTCAGCACGGTGCCGAATATGTCCATAGTTGGCAACAATTAATTTAAAAATCGGGCCCTCGATGACGTAACTAAAAGTTTATTTGATATGAACCGTATGTGAAAAGTATATGAAAAGTATATAAATACAATTTGATCAAAATATTCTATTATCAGTTTGGCTTTGTGTGAAGACTATCAAATTCAACGCCCGCTGGATTATAAACTTTTTGATAAAATTTTTTATTTTGTGAAATTAAATTTTGAATACCTGTATTCAAAATTTAATTTCACCGGAAATCTTAATATTTCTTCTTTATTGCGGTGCTTTTTCCGTTATTTTTATACAAATTAAAATTACACTAATGAACTTTATTTCGATTTGGCATAACTCAAACTCTTTAATATCGGACAGAAATATTCCGCACACAAGACCAGGCCGGTATAATATGATCGAACAAAAAAAAACGTCAGCGATGGCCCGATGGCTATGAAATGAAGATCGCTGTCATTTTATATATGTAAACTTAATAGGGAATGTCATCGATCGTCATTTCCAAGCCAACTGAACTCCATTTTTAATTCGATCGTACTATATCTCTCTGGATAACACCTCTGGATAAAATTAAATATTAATAAACAATTTTTTTCCAAAGGTCACAAATGTGTTAACTTTTGCGATGTGATGAACGACGTTTTAATTTTTTTTTAAATCTATTTGTGGCGTTTGAAAAAAATATAGCTTGTTCTATTCGGAGTAAAAATGTAGTTTTTGTGCCACGCCTGTAATGTCAAACGAACAGTCTCGCCATAAGGAGTATCATTTTGTTTCCTAAAGCCCGGTTGTCAAAGTGTACTTGGACCAAGTTTACCTTTTGATGCTGCCATATAAGTATACATAGGTCATGAACTTTGTAACGTCCAAGTAAGTTGACATCCTGGAATGTTACGAAGCCTTCCAACTTGACTTGGATAAAATTTTTAATATACGGTTTACCGGGTGCGTCTCAAAAGTGGCTCACCCCTCTAAATTTTGTATTTTTTTAGTTAAAAAACGAGATTTGGTATGTTAGTATATGACATAAATTAGGATTGATTGACGTACTCAATTGTTTTTGGTCACTTCCGGTTTCACCGGATATGACTACAACTTTTGATTTTTAAATGGCACCCCGGTATTTTTTTACTTTATTCGATAGAAAATGTCAATCTGAATAGAATGACGTATCATATGTCAACTTTTGACATTTTCGCATATGGTTTGTTTGAAATTATAACTTGCGGTTCGTAACGAAAATTTGACTTGAAATACCACGTGTGTGGTATCAAATTATTCGTATTATTATTTCCACAACAATTGAATACACCAATCAATCCTAATTTATGTCATATACTAACATACCAAATCTCGTTTCTTTGTTAGAAAAAATAAAAAAGTTATAGGGGTGAGCCACTTTTGAGACGCACCCGGTATATAGCAGCGTACAAGTGAGATGCGCGCAGCTTTATTATAGGTACAGTTACGCTACGTCCTAAGGCTTCGTCCTACGTGGGAGACAAAAGCGAGCGAGCGACGCGTGCGACAACAGAGGGCGATGAGCGCGACTAGCGCGACATATTTAAATTGCCTGCGATGCCGCTTCAGTCGCGCGACTCTCCTACCTAGGACAGCTTCGTAAGAAAGCGTCATTTGATAAATACGCGTCGCTCGCACCGCCCGAATTGCGCGCTTTTGTCTCCCACGTAGGACGAAGCGTAAGTGGGAGACAAAATCGCGCGATTCGGGCGCGGGCGGTGCGAGCGACGCGTATTTATCAAACAACGTTTTCTTACGAAGCTGTCCTAGCTAGAAGATACGCGCGACTTAAGCGGCATCGTAGGCAATTCAAAAATGTCGCTCTAGTCGCGCTCATCGCCCTCTGTTGTCGCACGCATCGCCTGCTCGCTTTTGTCTCCCACGTAGGACGAAGCGTTATATGGCAGCATCCAAGTGTACTTGGTCCAAGTACATTGGACCGTGTCAACAGGGCTTAATAAAAAAATATACTATTATGGAGCAACTGTTTAAATCGCAAACGTTGTACGTCAATGCCGAAAGTATCTAATAAAGAACATACTGAAACTGATTATTGCTATTCTAAGGTTAAATTTTCTATCCTCTACACTTCTCCCATTCGATGAAAAATGCAATTAACACAATAATATTTAATTATTTAAATGTATTTTTTTTCGTTTCAGGTTCCTATTCCACCAGCTTGTAAACCGATAATTCAACAAAACAGTTTAATTCCACTATTCTATGACAGTTCGGATGTCATTACAACAGTAAAATGCTACTTCGAAGAAAAATTCTACGACCCGGAAACATCATGGGTTTCAAAAAATCCTTGCCAAATGTGTTTCTGTCAAAACGGCAAAACCACTTGCGATATGATGACCTGTCCGGAAACATCCTGCACCGAAGGGAAAATGGTACAAGTGGACGGCGAGTGTTGTCCAGTTTGTATGAACAATACCATCTCCAGCAGGGACACGAACGGTCAAAAATGTATTTTGAATGGAAAATCCTACTTACCCGGCACCAAGTTTCATCCGTTTTTCATACCATTTGGGTTTGACTTGTGTACGGAATGTTATTGCGATCCCATGGATTTGGAAATCAGATGCAGCAGACTCAACGAAAACGAAAAGAAATGTTGCAAAAACTGCAAGAAAGGATTCGACATCAACGATCCCCTATCAGACGACATCGATGCGCCTAGTGTTCCTGTCAAAAACCAGGGAAGCGAATACGCGAAGAAGAAGGATTTCGCGGCCAAAATTTTAGCGGAAGGGTGGATGCAAAAATTCGTTCAATCCAAAGAAGCCGTTTGCCAATGGAAGTGAATACCATCCGTTCATAGATTCATTGGGAGAGTACAAGTGTGTTACTTGTAAATGTGAGGTAAATATCCCCATTTATTATATTTCTACTTATATAGGGTGTTTCTATAAGAACTCACCGGGTATACAGTGTGGTTATAATTGTATTCGGGAAACTTTGGCAGCATATTCGGCAGATAAAAATAAGTGAAAAAAGTTTGCATAAATGTATGTACTAAAGCTTCATTTCGGAAATACATGGTGTAGAAGTTTCATTTTTATTTCGATTTTTTCCAAATAATTTCTGAACTACTGTCGATATTTGGATGAAACTTGGTGTCATTTGACACGGGAAATTTGATTTGGATTCAATGACTGCTTGTAGGTAAAAAATGGTCGAAATGTATATTGTTTTACTCGGTAGTTTTATACAGGTACAGACGAGAAATGATTACTCTTCCAACCAGTTAAAATATATATGTAGCGCCCCCTACAAGTCGGATATTGATATTAGTACAGAAATTATTAAAAAAAATCGAAATAGAAATGAAATTTCTACACCCTGTATCTCCGAAACGAAGCATTTTAGGACATACATTAATAGGAACTTCTTTACCTATTTTTATCGGTAGAATTTGCTTCCGAAGTTTCTTCGGACCACCCTGTATATTCAGGATCCGAATTATAAAAAAAAATCACATTTCGTTAGTACCGTATGATCGAAAAAAAACGGCGTCCAGTTGGCTTGGAAATGACGATCGATGACATTTCCCATATAAAATGACATCGATCTTCATTTCATAGCCATCGCTGATGCCATTTTTATTCGATCATACAGTACTTCCTGAACAATACTTATTAATAGATTTATTTTTTCTGTTACAGAAAGGTACCCAGACATGTAAACGGCAACTTTGCGATATGACCACGTGCAGAAAAATGCTCGACATCAAAAAGAGGCGAGAAAAAATTAATCAGTCAGATTTCTGCTGCACGCTGAAACAATGCAGGAAAATGAGGCACAAAAAGAAGCAAAACGCGACGAGTTAAAATTCAATGGATGGCTTGACTTACGAACAGCAGAAGGTGCCACCTGAATCCCCAGCGGAAATTTAAATTCCACTTAGTCAGCACGGTGCCAGGTATGTCCATAGTTGCCAACAATTAATTTAAAATCGGGCCCTCGATGACGTAACTAAAAGTTTATTTGATATGAACCGTATGTGAAAAGTATATGAAAAGTATATAAATACAATTTGATCAAAATATTCTATTATCAGTTTGGCTTTGTGTGAAGACTATCAAATTCAACGCCCGCTGGATTATAAAACTTTTTGATAAAATTTTTTATTTTGTGAAATTAAATTTTGAATACCTGTATTCAAAATTTACTGAAACTGATTATTGCTATTCTAAGGTTAAATTTTCTATCCTCTACACTTCTTCCATTCGATGAAAAATGCAATTAACACAATAATATTTAATTATTTAAATCTATTTTTTTTTGTTTCAGGTTCCTATTCCACCGGCTTGCAAACCAATAATTCAACAAAACAGTCTAATTCCACTATTCTACGACAGTTCGGATGTCATTACAACAGTAAAATGCTACTTCGAAGAAAAATTCTACGACCCGGAAACATCATGGGTTTCAAAAAATCCTTGCCAAATGTGTTTCTGTCAAAACGGCAAAACCACTTGCGATATGATGACTTGTCCGGAAACATCCTGCACCGAAGGGAAAATGGTACAAGTGGACGGCGAGTGTTGTCCAGTTTGTATGAACAATACTATCTCCAGCAGAGACACGAACGGTCAAAAATGTATTTTGAATGGAAAATCCTACTTACCCGGCACCAAGTTTCATCCGTTTTTCATACCATTTGGGTTTGACTTGTGTACGGAATGTTATTGCGATCCCATGGATTTGGAAATCAGATGCCGCAGACTCAACGAAAACGAAAAGAAATGTTGCAAAAACTGCAAGAAAGGATTCGACATCAACGATCCCCTATCAGACGACATCGATGCGCCTAGTGTTCCTGTCAAAAACCAGGGAAGCGAATACGCGAAGAAGAAGGATTTCGCGGCCAAAATTTTAGCGGAAGGTGGATGCAAAAATTCGTTCAATCCAAAGAAGCCGTTTGCCAATGGAAGTGAATACCATCCGTTCATAGATTCATTGGGAGAGTACAAGTGTGTTACTTGTAAATGTGAGGTAAATATCCCCATTTATTATATTTCTACTTATATATAGGGTGTTTCTATAAGAACTAGGATGAATATATTGTAGAAAAATGTGCACACAAGAAATCTCCGGAAATTTGTAAGACTAGTAATGGTCGATGTCATTCGGATAAAATATTTAAGTAGATATTTTAAATGATCTAGCATAACTCGATCAATTATACAGGTTGAGCCTTAAATAAGTGCAAATATTTTCAGCTCGATAAAAGAAACATATTGTGTTTTCTCTTTATCGTTTTTCAAAATAACCGAGTTATTTTGCTTTGAAAATTTCTAAAAAAAATGATGTTTTGCTTAAATTCTGAGAAACACTGAATCTTTTCTGTTTTTTTTTTGTTGTAAATTTGATCTACAACCTATATATGGTATATATACCATATTATCAAGAAATTATGATGTTTAACTAAAAACTAAAAAAAAAATTCCAAATTTTCAAAAACATTTTCAAAAAACTCATAATAGTGTGTACTTTTTTAAGACTCACCGGGGATACAGGGTGGTTAGAATTGTATTCGGGAAACTTTGGCAGCATATTCGGCAGATAAAAATAAGGAAAAAAGTTTGCATAAATGTATGTACTAAAGCTTTATTTCGGAAATACAATGTGTAGAAGTTTCATTTTTATTTCGATTTTTTCCAAATAATTTCTGAACTACTGTCGATATTTGGATGAAACTTGGTGTCAGGGAGTTATTTGACACGGGAAATTTGATTTGGATTCAATGACTGCTTGTAGGTAAAAAATGGTGGAAATGTATATTGTTTCACTCGATAGTTTTATACAGGTACAGACGAGAAATGATTACTCTTCCAACCAGTTAAAATATATAGGTAGCGCCCCCTACAAGTCGGATATTGATATTAGTACAGAAATTATTTGGAAAAAATCGAAATAGAAATGAAATTTCTACACCCTATATCTCCGAAACGAAGCATTTTTGGACATACATTAATAGGAACTTCTTTACCTATTTTTATCGGTAGAATTTGCTTCCGAAGTTTCTTCGGACCACCCTGATGTATATTCAGGATCCGAATTATAAAAAAAATCACATTTCGTTAGTACTTCCTGAACCATACTTATACAAAATTATTAATAAATTTATTTTTTCCGTTACAGAAAGGTACCCAAACATGTAAACGGCAACTTTGCGATATGACCACGTGCAGAAAAATGCTCGACATCAAAAAGAGGCGAGAAAAAATTAATCAGTCAGATTTCTGCTGCACGCTGAAACAATGCAGGAAAATGAGGCACAAAAAGAAGCAAAACGCGACGAGTTAAAATTCAATGGATGGCTTGACTTACGAAAGTTATTTCATATGGAAACTACGGGCTGCCGCCCAGTTACCTATTTACCAAAGAAGACTGAGACAGTTGTAAAATGTACGAAAAGCTGTCATAATTTATTTTTATTCTAGTTTTACATTATATTGCGTAACTACTTCTATATTTTCGAAGACGATGTTGCAGTCGAGAAGCTGGGTCATTTAAAATTTAAATTTTTTTTTGTATTGAAAATGTCTGAGAAGACAACAAAAATAGTAAACTAGTTATCATTGACTCACACACACGTTGATTTAATTATAATCACAAACAATTAAAACATATTGTGCTTTCTCGGTTGCTGCTTGTTTGACATATTGTAAATTATTCCATAGTATAGATAGAGTTTCTACTGGCTAGGTACTCACAGTGAGATTATCAGTTAACAGCAAAACAGGCGCATTAAATTATAGTAACGGATAGGGAATGCAATCCCGCAAATGCTAGATCCCGCAAATGCGGGATCCCTCTGTAATTCCGTGGAATCAACGTTGCAGGATTTACCGTGCGGGATCGACACCAGGGGATTCCCCTTACGGCTTGGCCATTAAAAATAAGTGAAACAAACAGGTTAATTGTTAGATTTCTTTCTGGCGTGCCTAAGTGAAGAAAAGCGTTTAACTAGTACTTGTGGACAATTACGTCAAATAAACTGCCGGACGGAATTATCGGGACAAGCAAAATTTTAGGGTAAATTTAAAGTTGAATATCTCTTGAACTAAAAAAGATTTTGGGATGCGGTTTAGACCAGGTTTTAGATGCATCTATTGTGATTTAGATACTATGTGGATTTCGAAAATATGAAAATATATTTAGCGAATTCTCGTACACAGTGTGTTTTATAAGAGTGAACATTTGGTCAAGAATCTTTTTTACCGCAAATTTACAATTTTTAAAAAATCAAAATTTTTACCAAGTACGACTAATCTGTATTGAAACTAGAAAAAAACAATTTGATCCGCTATTTATTTTTTTTTGTTTTAAGGAAAATACGACGTTTTTTATACGATGGTCCTAAATGGTACAAAAAGCTTTGTGTACATTCTGCATATGCCAAAACACAAGTTAAAAATAAACTTCAACATCAGAATAATATTTTTATTTATAAAATAAGTAGATAAATTATAATAAAATTTAAGTTTATTTAATAGTAAATATATTTTCTGAACACCTTGTATACATCGGTCCAAATTTCTGTACAGATAGTTTAAGATACACGCTATATCAATATATTGTGGGCATATGCAAAATGTACAATGCCTTTTGTACCATTTAGGACTAAATGTATGACTATAAATGCATATTTTTCGAAAAAAAATCGTATTTTCCTTAAAACAAAAAATTAAAAAAAAACACCAAATTGTTTTTTTCTAATTTCAATACAGATTAGTCGTACATAGTTAAAATTTCCATTTTTTAAAAATTGTAAATTTTCGGTAAAAAGATTCTTGACCAAATTTGTACACTATTATAAAACACCCTGTATACGAGAATTCGCTAAATATATTTTCGAAAACAACATAGCATCTTATAATCACAATAGATGCGTCTAAAACCTGGTCCAAACCGCCTCCCAAAATCGGAGAGAGAAAAGAAGAGCATTTATTGTTTACAATCCCGCAATTTTGCGGATCCGCGGGATTTATTGCTTTAATCCCGCGGGTTTGCGGGATTGAGATTTTGGTGCGGGATTGCATTCCCTAGTAACGGAGCTAGCTGATCATCAGTTCTTTGTTAGCGTCATAGAACAAATGCTGTTAAATGATAATTCGTAAATACTCATTAGAGATGAAGGCTGATAGAAACGTCGAGGGAACGCACTAAAATACCAGTCATATTGTATAATATTTATACTTTTATTTATTGTAGACAGACTTCTTTGAAATGTTCTTCATAATTTTGATGTCTTCCCCGAGTAATTGCTGTATGTTTGCTTAATTTTAAGTAAAACATATCAATTTTGGTGCCATCGGTTATGCTAAAGTGAGAAGGACTTTGTTAGTAGGTACTTAAGAGGCTTCTGGAAACAACGTACGTTTGTTATGTTAAATCTAGTCTCTGAAATTGTATTTTTAGTGGTATAAGGCATAAGGAGATTGAACTATTCTTTTACTTATCTACGAAAGTGAAATTCTGTCATCTGTAGGAAATTTATATAAAACAACTCTTACACATACCTAACAGTACTGCTAATTCACTAGAAGCTAAAGAAAATTAGAAGCATTTATCTAATGATTACACTAAAAAATTTGGAATCTCCCTTGAAATATTTCAGTATTTACTAAATTATTTTAGTATTAGGTTAGTGAGTGAATGTGATTTTTGAATTTAAACTTTTATGTTATTGTACATACCTTTATTTTATTAGTTTTAAACTTAACGTTGCATTAGGCAAAATTAAATATATAAATATACGCTTTATATTTTTTGTACGAGTTAAGGAATTACACACATTATTAATTTCTCTATGTAAATTAAAATCGTATATTTATAAACTAACTTGATTTTAAGATTGTATATAGTGAATATAATTTATGGGCCACTTCGTTGCATTTGGTAATAATTTAGTAATGACGATATACCTAATGAATATATCATAGACGTGTTAGCAAATGGCAGTATAACAGTACAGCTATGTTAAATCTTGTACCTGCTTTAGGTCTTAAAATACATGCTTTATTAATACATAACTTTGTTTTTTTTTTGTCCTGTAAAAAGAATCAGTAATTTGTAATTAGTGCGGCTGACCATGTAAAAAGTTTTATTCAGATTTAATAAATATAAATTTCAAACCATAATGTTGAAAAGTCTTTGACTATTTTTTAAAACCTCTTTTTCACTGAAATGTACAGGGTGGGCGCCTCTCATATGACACGGAGGCTCCAAGGAATATACCGGGTGCGTCTCAAAAGTGGCTCACCCCCTATAACTTTTTTATTTTTTCAGATAAGAAAACGAGATTTGGTGTGTTAGTATATGACATAAATTAGGATTGATTGACGTATTCAATTGTTTTTTATCACTTCCTGTTTCAACGGAAATGAGTGCAACTTTTGATTTTTAAATGGCCCCCTCGGAATTTTTTTACTTTATTCGATAGAAAATGGCATTCTGAATAGAATGATATATTATATGTCAACTTTTGATTTCGCTTACCTAATAAAAAATCGTATTTTAAGTTTCAATCTAGAGTGCCATTGCTATGTTATAAACACTAATTTTTAAAATTGGAAAAATAAATTTGATAGTCTAATGTTTTTAGTGTCTTGTTCTGGCCGGTTAAAAGAAGACCAAATCGTATTTTTAATCATATCTCAATTTTTTTTAACTGGAACGAGGGTGGCTCATTAGCATATTTGGAAAAAGAATTTTTTTACGAATAATTTGATACTACACACTTGATATTTATGTCAAATTTTAATGAACCGCATGTTACAATTTCAAAAAAACAAATGCGCAAATGTCAAAAGTTGACATATGATATGTCATTCTATTCAAAGTGTTATTTCTATCGAATAAAGTAAAAAAGTAACGAGGGTGCCATTTAAAAATCAAAAGTTATAATCATTTCCGGGGAAACAGGAAGTGACCAAAAACAATTGAATACGTCGATCAATCCTAATTTATGTTATATATACTAACATACCAAATCTCGAAAAAGTTATAGGGGGTAAGCCACTTTTGAAACTCACCCGATATATGTAGGTTAATTTAGGGCCATTTTATAAAAAATGGAGTGCTACAATATGTGCCTAGAACAAGTTAAACTTCAAAGTTGTGTTTTTTACCAACACAACTTTTTTTGACATATTTATAACATTTTCTGAAAATGAAGAATAAACTTTAAATTTCAATAACAGCTACCAGATTGTAATTTATCCTGTATAGCCTGATATTTATTTAAAATAACTATTGCATATTAAACCAAATTAAAATTTGACCCCATAAAGTTAATCCACACAAATCCATAGAGAGTAGGTATATAGAATTCAAAGGAGGACATTAAAATCAACGAAATTATAGTGCATATTGGTAGGTATCTTCTAAAATTTTTGAAAATTCAAGTGTCATATCAAAGTCAACTTTATCGAGAAGCTTATTGACAATAAAGATCTTTTTGACTTCTCTATTTTTTGTATGAAAAGGTACTTAAATAAGTCTGTCCAACAAGTCAACAGATTTCAATCAATATCTCAATAGATAGATTATAGTTGGTATGAATACTTTAATTATAGTATATTTATATTAGACCTATAAAATAGACGAATAGAAGAAAAAAATTATAAAGTTTGAATATGTTGAGATTATACGCACCAAAAGGAGACTTTTCAAAATCAAAAGAGTTCTTAACTTTAAAGCGTGAGCTTCACTCCAAAAAACCAACCCCAATACGCCCTTCGATGGTTTTTCGCTTTTTTCTCAGAACCCGTTGGTCCCACAAAAAAATTTATACTTACTTATTTATATTTATCCAATGCATTTCGAGCAATAACCGTTTGAAAAATGAAGTACAAAAAAATACAGGTCGCCTTTCAAATTATAGTCTCCCAATGTATTTTAACGTGCTAAATATACACGCAACAGATATAATACTGTATAATATAAACAAAAACATTGCCTATTCCACCAAACTAACATTCATACTTTCATCTACATATTGTCATCGTCTATAGTTTCTAGAATGTGCTCATTCGAACAACTTTGCCCACGACAGGTTCCGCACATAGTTGTACATTTCATGCCGGCTTTAATGCAACTGCATCTTTTTACACAATCTTGTTTGCAGTTGCACGTTATTAATGACATAATTGAAGCAGGGGCGGGCGATTCTGTTGTATATAAAGGTGACAGGGTGTTGTTGATTTTCTTCCAGCCCCACTGGTCGGGTTTTATAGGTTGTTCTTACCATATTTGTACTTGAAGATATGTTCTCCGGGAATGTTACCTAGCTGCAGCAGATGTGGGAGGCAATTTTGATAAAAGTACCATGCTGTTTGCTTCACCAACTAACTTATTGTAACAATCGTATCTTTGGTCACCAAGGCTCCCTTCAGATGATTGAAGTTTGTATAGTTTCAGTATAAACGTCTCTCCAGCTTTTTCAATTTCTTCAGGTGTTGACTTTGCATTGTTAAAAATATCGACGATACTATCAAGGTCTTTTTCTTTATTAAATATTTGTACGTGCTGTTGTTTTCCTTTTCCAAAAAATCCTGATGTTGTGTCACGCCCGCTAATAGCGTGAATAAATAAAATTGATTTTTTTAAATTACGTATAATATTGGATGATTGCAAGTCTCTCGAACTATACATTCGTTGTTTCGCATTACTTCGCGGCTTCTTTCAGAAAAAGAATGTCTTTTTCATTGGGGGAAAGTGCTGCTAATAAAACAAGATCGACATCTTGTCCAACGACTAGAACTTGTTCATTTTTCTCAGATATTTTGATGGCAGTACGAATAATTTGAACATCAGCAAACAAGATTGTGTAAAAAGATGCAGTTGCGTTAAAGCCGGCATGAAATGTACAACTATGTGCGGAACCTGTCGTGGGCAAAGTTGTTCGAATACTGAGCACATTCTAGAAACTATAGACGATGACAATATGTAGATGAAAGTATGAATGTTAGTTTAGTGGAATAGGCAATGTTTTTGTTTATATTATACAGTATTATATCTGTTGCGTGTATATTTAGCAGGTTAAAATACCTTGGGAGTCTATAATTTGAAAGGCGACTTGTATTTTTTTTGTACTCCGTTTTTCTAACGGTTATTTCTCGAAATGCATTGGATAAATAGAAATAATGAATAGAACCTTTTTTGTAGCAAATTTTATAAGGAATATTTTTGACAAGAATGAAATTTTCTGTGCGACTAATGGTTTTCGAGAAAAACCATCGCAGTGCGTATTGGGGGTGGTTTTTGAAGGTGAAGCTCACACTTTACAGTTAGAAACTCTTTTGATTTTAAAAAGTCTCCTTTTAGTACGTATAACCTCAACATGTCAAAACTTTATAATTTTTTTTCTAAATATGCCTAATATCAACGTACTATTAAAGCAGCGCCACTGTCAGTGGAGCAACTGGGGCGCATACTTTTATGGGGGCTTAGGTCACCATAAGATAATATTGATTTGATGTTAAAACCCTAAAAAAAAAGATTTTAAAGGAGCCGCATCAGTCATCTAATAGGGGGACTAAGCACCCCTCTAGGCCCCTTGTTGCATCACTGGTCACTGTTAATAAATGTGAATAATGTAACTAAAATAAGAACATAGAGGCACTTGTTTAACTGTTCTATAAAAATAATTCAGAATCATATTTTTTTTAAATAGTTACGATAAAGAAAAGAAACAAATAATATTTATTTCAGTTTTATTAACAAATGCAATTCTTATAACATTCAAAATGTAATTCATTCATTAAAAATCTGCATTCTATCATCTTAAACTGATGTATCAGAGTAAAGTATTATCGCGGGCAATTAATAATTATATTCAACACAATTTTTTCCTATTTAAATCTAATATGAAAATGATTAGGGAAAAATAATTAACAATAAGCAAATAAATCCTAATAATTACTAGAAAGAATAAATATATCTACTTGGGGCAAAACTCAATTTTAAGGAGTTACTAAAAAGTAAATTGCATACATTTTAACAGCTTAAATAACATTATGTAACTATTCTCAAACATCTACCTGTTACATGCTAATGCATACAGTCATTTAATCAAAAAAAAAAACACTCGTGCATCATATCTCAAAAATATATTTGATCAGTTTCACTATGTATTAACTATTAACTTAAGCCTTATAGAAATAACATGTTAAGTTAGTTAAATAATTTTATTTATACATATGATTTAACTGAAATTTGGTTTATGCATAAGAAAATGTATCAACAAAAATTGGAAGCGTATTATAAAAACGTTCACTCACACAGTCATCACTGAAGGGAAGAAAAAATACCCAATTCCTCGGAAAAACGATTTATTTCTAACTTAACATGTATTCTTTACAAGATCCTAGAAACAAAATTGATAAAAAAGAAGATATAAAAAAATGAAAAGCGACTTCAGCTAGACATATATTCGCACAAAACACATCTTCTCCGACTGGGTGTGACTAAATCTTATGTTAGAGATGATACAAATAGAAAAATATTGATTTTAAAACAACTGACGAAACCAATGCCTGTAGAGCGACAGTACGGGTTATGGGCCCTGGGCAGCATCAGTCCGGTCACTTATTTATTTTACAAATTTCTAACGTTAAGGGCGAGAGTTGAAGGCTAATCTTGCATCTCCTCTGGTACCTCGTGAGGATTGAGGATGCCCGGTACAGATAGTTGAACTCTGCGCTTTTCCGCCTGGGCACTTTCCAGTGCCTTCTCACGTTCCTCCAAAAACAGATCAGTGTCATCTTCACCCGTGTATTCCTGTAGAAAGAAAATACCGTTTTTCGCCAATTACACAAGAAGAAAAAAGGAATTTCAACCATGGACAGGGTTTTCAGAGTTATTTATTGCAATAATTGAAGCATTCCCTCGAATAAGGGTTTATGTTGCATTTTTGAGATATTGGGATTTTTGCTCAAAAAGGGTCTCTGTAGACAAGTTCATCTTTTTACAGTAATAAATACCCGATAATGTGCCGTCATCTATGAACAACATGCGGCACCATCTTTTCGAGCATGGAATAAGGGTATATGTTGTCACATTTTATTCAATATCGTAAATATGTCGAATGTTCAAATCACGCCGTCGCTTTTTTTGCATAACATTAAATAAAGGTCGAAAACGAAAAATAAATGTAACTGAATGGAGATATATTAAAAACAAAAGTTTAAGAAATGTACAACTTGTACACAAATAAAAAAATGCAATCTAAATTGGTTGCCTGCAATAAGGGTTTATGTTACATTTCACAGAAACCCTTATTCCCGGGACTCAAGAGTTTATTACATATATCTCTAATACTGGTTTATTATTATTTGTGTTGTGCAACTTTTTATATCTGGGGATTAATAAAGTTGATGTTAGTACCACTTGAATATGATTATCAATACGCAAGCCGTAGAAAACGTTTTTCTTCATTTACTTAAAACTTACTTTTGTAACATAGCCCCTTATTCGTGGGAAGCCTTCAATTATCAAGTGTATAGGTAAATGTTAACGTTATTTGAGGCACCCTCAAAGAAAGCAATAATACGCTTAGTCCCAGAAATATTACAGTTTGGTTATTTTGCCGTACAAGGGAAAACCAGAGTAGTCCTTACTCATGGGCGACAAACATGCGTCTTGAAGTTAGTATTACATAATCCGATAATCACACAGGTCATTTTAGTACCATAATATACAGGTTTTGGCAACTAACTATTGTAGATCTGCAGGACAGGCATTTTTCGAAATTTAACAAGAGAAATAAACACTGTTCTTTAAATGTTTTTTTTTTAATTTATGTATTCTAATAAAAATCTACTTAAATAGTAATTTTCTTGATACAACAAAAAAATAGCAGTTTAGATTTAGGTTTTGTACAACCTTTAATTGGACATCCCTGGATTTTCCCCTGTTTTGTTTTTCATTTTAACATTTTTATTCCGGTATTTCAGAATATTGCAATAATTAACAATATTAATAATTCAGAGTTAGTAGTAATATACAGGGTGGTCCAAACTGTATTCCGGAAACTTCGACAGCATATTCTGCAGATAAAAATAAGTAAAAATGTCCGTATAGATGTATGTCCAAAAATGCTTAGTTTCGGAGACACAGGGTGTAGAAGTTTCATTTTTATTTCGACTTTTTCCAAATAATTTCTGCAATAACGTCAATATTTGGATTAAAATTGATGTCTGGGAGTTTTTGACATGAGAAATTTGATTTTGATGTCAATATAACTCCTACTAGTAGAGGGCGCCACCTACATATTTTTAACTAGTTTGAAGAGTAATAACTTTTCGTCCGTACCTGTATAAAGCTACTGAGTAAAAAAATAAACATTTACGACGCCTTTTACGTAAAAAAGGTCTCTTGGTAAAAATCGCTACGAGTAATGGTTTTCGAGATATTTGGAATCGAAATTAGCGATATCTGTCATCACTGACATAAATTAAACGTGTTGACTAAATAGTTATTAGACTGAGATCATAAATTTGAAATGTTTTTTGTACCAAAAGTTCAACAAAAACTGTTTTATCATCATTTTTTTGCAGAAAAAATATGATTAATTTAAAAAAATAAAAATTTCCCAAGTTTATTAAATATTTCAGTGAAATATCATATCAAAAATATAAACTATCTAGCCAACGTGTTTATTATTGACTATTTCCATTCTAAATATGTGCAGAACGGTTGCTTGTAGCGATTTTCACAAAGAGATAATTTTTACGTAGAAAATTACAGAGATGTATATTTTTTGTCTCGGTAGTTTTACACAGGTACGTACAAAAAGTTATTACGCTTCAAAACAGTTAAAGCACATGTAAGTGGCGCCCTCTACAAGTAGGAGTCATATTGACATCAAAATCAAATTTCTCATGTTAAAAAACTCCCAGACACCAATTTTCATCTAAATATTGACGTTACTTCAGAAATTATTTGGAAAAAATCGAAATAAAAATGAAATTTCTACACTCTGTATCTCCGAAACTAAGCATTTTAGGACATATATTTATACGAAGTTTTTTACCTATTTTTATCTGCAGAATATGCTGCCGAAGTTTCCGGAATACAATTCGGACCACCCAGTATATTTTTTTAATTATTCAGCCTAAAAAAATAGTATATTTCTTTAAAAATTAACGAATGGGAATAAGATTCTAACACTAAATTGCATTTTTCTCGGCTCCAATTAACCCTCAACGTGGTGGGGTCTAGCGGACCCCAAGCACTATTTAAACTTCTGTAAAATGTTTACGTTTAAGAATTAGGCCTCTCCGCGCCATTTACCTTTAAGTTAGGGTACCAATATGCAAATGTTAAAGGGGCACTTGATTTTATCATGTATTGTTCGTACCAGCGGGGGCTAAAGTTTCATTGGGGTCTGTGTGGCACCACCACGCCAAGAATGTTTCATTATTAGGATGGTGGGTAGTCTAAAAAGTATGTCTCACTGGAACACTAATTTTGGGAAAACATTAATTGAGTGGTTTGATGAACTTAAAATGGCTTAAGTGAGATGAAGATCATCAAGGCATTTATTTTTCTCCGAATAGTAACCATAAATCCGATTCTGAATCTCTTACTTATAGAAGAGAGAGAATTGAATAATCAATACCAGAAAAGAAAGAGATGTGGTATATGTCAACCATGTCAACGAAGAAATGACAAAAAACAAAAATTTCATGAATCAAATGTGCACGATTCATATGCGGCAACTGAAGATCCTATATTAGCATGAACTATGTTTGAAAAAGTGATGTACACGCAAGGTTTGCAGGTTTAGTGAAAATAATTTATGTTTATTACTTTAGCTTCACATTTCAGTTGTTTGTACTTTTAATAATACGGGAAAATATAAAACATAAAAAAAACATAAAATATATATATTTTTAATTTCTATGGGTTTCTTAGCCAAGTTATATTTCTGTTGTCTAAAACTCCTAAAAAAATACGTTTACCTTTATGTGTATCTGATCTTGTATCTGTTCTTATTAATTTGTTGAAAATTAATGAAATTGTTTGTTCACAAGTTTGAATATATTGTAAACAGTGTTAAAATAACAAGCCTTTTATAAAATTTCTTCATCATGTATTTTAAACTGAAAAAAATTGGGGTCCATCGGACCTCAGCACGCCATAAGCGGTACAAAAATCCACCAGTTGAGGGTTAAAATGGACAAAGCTGGTTATCCCTTGTAGTCTTCAAATGAGTACTCTAGCTGCCAAATGGTGTAAGTGCCAAATTAACATTTTTAGAAAACAACGCTTTTGTTTTCTTGTTTATAGTTAATTCCACATTGAGATGTAAAAAAACGCAACGGAAAATTTTTTCGACAAGTTTAAAATGTTATATTTTTTTTTGCTTTTAGCCCTATTTTCATGATTTTTATAGCAAACTGTATGTAAATCTATCAACTATAATTCATAAACTTAATTTTTTCAAAACTTTAGTATTTGACTTATTATACAGGGTTAACTGAACGGTTGTTCTTTATATTTACTTTAAAACACCCTGTGCAACAATTTTGTGAGTAATAGTTCCATTTTTCGACCAGAACTATGTCTCCTGAGCAGCCTTATTTAATTTTTAAGAGCGAAATTGCCAACAACAATTTACAATTTTTTCAACTATCATTACTTTATAATGTTATTTTTTAATATCATGAGGTGGCTTTGGTGACTATTCTCATGTCATCGACACTGATTAGAACTTTATATTAAAATTTAAAAAACGTTAAAAAACGATAAAGGTTTGGTTTTAATAAATATTAGTAACACTACCAGAACTAAGGCTATTAAAAAAAATAACTGTAATAACTAAGTGTACAGACAAAGAAAAAACTTGTAAGTAAAACTTGAGGCAATACAAAGTATTAAGATAATCTTAATACTGTGTATTGCTTCCCCCGGCTGCTATAACTGTCTATAGACGTCGGTTCATACTGTTAATGAAGCTGCAAATATATTGCGTTATGTTTTCTCATTCTTCTTCAAGAACCAAGCGAATATTCATAATTTCGGCCATCTTCAACAAGATTAATGACTTTTGCACAATCTTCGACACTAAGAACCATATTCAATCGCACGCAACAATAATCACCAAAACCACCTCGTCATTATAAAGAGTAACATAAAAAGTAATGATAACTGAAAAGATTGCAAAATGTTTGTGGCACATGTGCAACTGTATTTTCTTTGATAGCATGTAATAAAAACACATTTCCGAAATCGGAGCGAGACATCATTGCCAACAAAAATATTACAAGCTAAACGTCTTCGCCCGGCATCAAATTTTTACGTCAGAGCTATCAGGCCTTCAGTTAAGATGGCTATAAACAGTTCCTATACCGGGTGCGTCTTAAAAGTGGCTCACCCCTATAACTTTTTATTTTTTCAGATAAAAAAACGAGATTTGGTATGTTAGTATATGACATTAATTAGGATTGATTGACGTATTCAATTCTTTTTGGCCACTTCCTGTTTCACCGGAAATGATTACAACTTTTGATTTTTAAACGGTACCATCGGAATGTTTTTGCTTTATTCGATAGAAAATTCCATTCTGAGTAGAATGACATATCATATGTCAACTTTTGACATTCTCAGTAAATAAAAAATTTAATTTTAAATTTCAATCTAGAGTCCCATGACTATGTTAACCTTTCCGGGACCGTGCGGGGTATTTTAGGTACCCCAGATGCGTTTTTTCTTTAATAACTTTTACAATTTTTATTTTTCACTTTTTTCCTCTCAGGTAATCCTAGAAAATATATTACAAAACCCTTTTTTAACAAAAATATTCAAATCTTTTTTTTATTTTCCGCGAAAAACTAAAATTTACTGCCTGGGATACCTTAGTTACTCCGCACAGCCTGCAAAGATTCGAAATTCCACACGCACTATTCATGTTTTTTCGTGTTGGTGACTTTGTATGAAGACCTAAATGAGTTCTATATTTAGGTTAGTGTTGATATTTACTATACTGTAGTAAGTTAGTGCGTGTATTTATTGGAAAATGGCGCAAAAGGAATATACTGATGATGGGCTAAGAAAATAGAGATTCCTGCCGAATTCGTTTTGAATTCTGCCCGCGAAGAGTAATCCTCCAGCACAAGGACTTGTATTTCTAAACGTTCTAAGAAGGAAACAAAATAGTAACAATTTTTACAAAACTGTAAAAACAGCAATAGATTTATTTCTTGTCGAAAGCACAGTTCCTATAAATCCTGCTAAAAATACTCAACCAAATTCAAACCGAAGATGCGACTTTTGCGCCAGATCACGTAACAGAATAACAAAAATATTATGTAGTACATGCAACAAAAAACATTTTTAATTTTCACCGCAAAGAATGCAAATCATTTTTATGCCCTGACGACCAAAATAATGTGTAGAAAATTAAGAGTTTAGTTTTAAAATTAAATGTTTTTTATATTAAACAAATACAAACTATTTAAATTATTGACGTTTTATTATAAAACTATAAAAATAATTATTAACAATTTACCAGAGTGACAAAATGGTAATAGTTTGTGAAATATTTCATTGGGGTACACGGCCTGAAACGTAACTTTTTGTAGCACGGTCCCGGAAAGGTTAAAAACACAAATTTTTTGTCAAGGAGAATTATTAACAGAACGTCAACGGTTTCTTGTAAACGTATCTGTTTTAAAAAAGTAAAGTGTTCTCGAATAGTTCAATTTAAATATTATAAATAGTTTTTTTTCTTTATTCTTTGTATTTTTTTGCTTCCGACGACGGAAAGAGAACTTTCCGAAACGTTAAGCATTTTTTTTCTTTGTTAGGCAAATTTTTATTACTGTAAACATAACTTCTGACAAGCAGCGTCCGTTTAGGTTTAAGGCAGAAGTGTTTACAAAAAATAATTATTATATTTTGTAGATTTTCTTGCAGTGCAGTGGCGAAATACCAATAAAGGATTTTTTTGGAAAAATCTAAGATTTGTCAGCATTCCTGGGACACAGGGCACTGAATAAATTTTAATAATGCCAAAATTATAATGAAAGAAGCGATAGCCTCTAAAAGAAAAATAAAAGAGGCTTTTTTAATTCAATCTAATAAAAATAAATGTATTGCTCAAGCATCTGTAGATGTTAGTAATGTATGGCAATTGCTTCTTTGATTTTAAAGAACAATATATACAGCAAGATAAATAAATATAATATACGTAAAATTTAAAAATAATCATACAGAAAGTTTGGGGTTTTTTGGTTTTACCTTATTAAGTAATTGTTATCAGGTAGTAATTGTTAATTTTGAAGTTTAAATATCAAGTTAAAAATGTAATTTTAACAGAACGTCAACGGTTTCTTGTAGACGTATCTGTTTTAAAAAAAGTAAAGTGTTCTCGAATAGTTGAATTTAAATATTTTAAATAGTTTTTTTTATTCTTCGTATTTTTTTGCTTCCGACGACGGAAAGAGATAACTGTTCGAAACGTTAAGCATTTTTTTCTTTGATGCAAATTTGTATTACTGTAAATATAACTTCTGACAAGCAGCGTCCGTTTAGGTTTAACGCAGAAGTGTTTACAAAAAATAATTATTTTATTTTGTAGATTTTCTTGCAGTGCAGTGGCGAAATACCCATAAAGGATTTTTTTGGAAAGATGAATTCGCCACATAGGTATAGACATTTTTTATAATTTGATACCACACACTTGGTATTTCCGAGTATTTCGACAAACCGCAAATTATAATTTCAAATAAACCATATGCAAAAACATGTTCAACATGTCAAAGTTGACATATGATATGTCATTCTATCCAGAGTGTTATTTTCTATCAAATAAAGTAAAAAAATACAGAGGGTGCCATTTAAAAATTAAAAGTTGTAGTCATTTTCGGTAAAACAGGAAGTAACCGAAAACAATTGAATATGTCAATCAGTCCTAATTAATGTCATATACTAACATACCAAATCTCGTTTTTTTTTAACTGAAAAAATAAAAAAGTTTTAGGGGGTGAGCCACTTTGAGACGCACCCGGTATAACATATTTTAAATGGAAAGTAGCATTTCCTTTCTCCTTTTCACTACTTACCCTAATTTGTACCAAGAAGTCTCTTAAATGTTCTTTGAATGCAGGAATATCCTGATCTAAATTGAACATGCCCTGGACCATAATTTTGATTTGGTTATCTGTCAAATGAGGAAAAGCAGATCTGAGCAGTGAGGCAGTAAATTCTTGAATGTACCTAACGTTATCAGCGTTTGGACCTAACTGACAGTTCACTCTGCCAGATTCAACCTAAAACAATACATAAGTCATAAATGTATAAAAATCATTATGTCTATACAGAAGATTCAAATCACTATTATCACTTATCGTATGTAATACCACAAGATGTTTCGGGATTACCGAATAATACTTTTAGCTGACACGAGATGCGTTACCCGGCAACACTACGACTCTGAAGGAGGAGTAGTGTTTCCGGTATCGCATTTCAGACGAGTGTCAGGCAAAAGTATTAGGTAATCCAGAGTAATCGCGCAACATCGAGTTGTATTCAAAAGATTTTACAACGGAATAAAGTACATATATCCTTATCTTTCTTTTACCATTTTGTAATAAGAATTGACGGGATATTTTGTGGAACTGACAGAAATTACTTCTGAATTAATATGTCAAAAAATGACAATTACAATATGGCCACCAAGCGATAATCACTTAAATGATTATCACTTATTAATCACATCCTTCTATAAGGAAAAATATACATAGAGTTGTATAATCAGTGGAATATATTTCTAAAAAAGCATGGTACGCCACTGGCTTTTTTTTCTCTTTTTTTTCTCTTGTTTTCTCTGTAGGAAATAGTATAGGCTATTTAATGCCGATTAAAAGTTGTCTCTTGATGTTTTGTCGATTTTGGCCTCCTTGATGAGATAAACGCAATTTTATTAATTTACCTTGATCAAAGTCTAATAGCAACCTTTAAAAAAATATCATTAACTTGCGAAAGTGTTAAATTAGTACTTATTGAATCCTTATCAAAATATATGAAAAAAAGTTTTTTAAAATCCAATCTAGAGTGCCATGGCATATGTTAAAACACTAATTCTTAATCAAGGAGCCTTGGAAAAATATATAAAATAAAAAATGTTTTTAGTGTCTTGTCCTGGCCAGTTAGAAAATACTCAAATCGTATTTTTAATTGTATCTCAAATTCTTCAAATGGAACGAGTGTGGCTCATTAGCATATTTGGAAAAAGCATTTTTTACGAATAATTTGATACAACACACTTGGTATTTCGAGTCAAATTTTCGTTACAAACCGCAAGTTATAATTTCAAATACACCATATGCAAAAATGTCAAAAGTTGACATATGATATTGGTGACATTGTCATTCTATTCAGAGCGTTATTTTCTTTCGAATAAAGTAAAAAAAATACCGAGGGTGCCATTTAAAAATCAAAAATTGTAGTCATTCATTGACCGAAAACAATATTGAATACGTCAATCAATCCTAATTTATGTCATACTAACATACCAAATCTAGTTTTTTTTAACTGAAAAAATAAAAAAGTTATAGGGGTGAGCCACTTTTGAGACGCACGCACACGGCATACTTAATGATAAATTAGATAAAATAAATAATTTATTAATTTTATTTTTATTTTAATTATATTAATTGTGATTAATACAATTGCGTTTATCTCATCAAAGAGATCTAAACCGACAAAATATCAAGATACAACTTGTAATCGGCATTAAATAATTCTGATAACAAGAGAAAAGAGAGTCCAGAGATAACCAAAATATTCTAGTGATAACCCATATGCACGGCCCTTGTAAATCTGTGGATACTTTTTTTAATATTAAAATGTGGCACTCATAGTAACTTTTACCCTCCAAATTTTATCCAAATCGCTAAAAACACTTGGAAGATTATAATAAGTCGAAAAAAAAGGTTAAGCCCTTGTAGCTACGAAACGAAGCAGAATCGGACCTATTTGATATGAAAAATAAATCTTATTTTTACGTGAGGAATCTCCACACGAGAAATGGCACGTTTTTTTGAAACACACTGTATAAGGCGGACCAGATGAGTCAGTTCAGAGTTCAGAGGTAGTTCTAATATAAAAATATGGTGGTCGCAAAAAATTGATACGGAAGTGATACTTGATAAACTAAAGTTTTCTGGCTTAATAAATTAAAGTTTAAAATATAATGAACCACAGAATCCATAACACTACTTAAATACTCTGCACGCCAAGTTTACCACTTTTCAAATAGATTTTGAGTAATCAGTGTTTTTCCTTTCAATATAACCCCCTCCCTAAATTTTGAAGATGAGTTGCTTGCCTAACCTCTAGGCAGCGTAACTGCTTGTGATCATGCTTGTATTAATAAAATCACGCAAGTATTATATAATAACGTAGATATAGTAATATACCAAACTATATGGTTTGGAAAGTAATATACAAAACTTACCAATGAAAATATATAGGCCAAGATAGTAGCATGCATCGATAAACTGGCTGTATGAGATGTATCAGTAACAACGGAGAAGACATGTTGCAAAATATCTGTCAAGTAGGTCTGATAGAAACTAGGAGCAGCTGCCTCATGTTGTTCAACGTTTTGTAACAATTTCAAGAGAATTTGTAGACCTGTATCGGCTACATTTCTCATGGTATGTTTAAATGCCCAAATTATACTGTCAAGTACCAGCTAAAAATAAAATATAATATAAATACTAGGACATACATATAGGTTTAATTTCTAAAAAAAACATTATGTATACGTGCTGAAGAAATATTAACTTAAAAATTGTTGGTTTTAATTTCAACTTTAATATATTGTTCATACTATAATATATTGTTTTTATTAGCAAATAATACAATATGATCGAAAAAAATGGCGTCAGTAATGGCTATGAAATAAAGATCTTTGTTATTTTATACGAAAAATTATATAGGGAACGTCATTGATGTTCATTTCCAAACCAACTGCACGCCGTTTTTTTCTATCATACGGTACTTTCAAAGCAATAGATGTAACAGTTTCAAAATATCAATTTAATGTGGGACATTTCAAAAATCAACACTGATAACATGATAATACACAACACTGTAACCAAGTGTTACCTATAAATTCTTACAATATCTCAGTTTGAACAAAAATCAGAATAAAACAACTAAATTAGAGTATCTGCAACGATTTTGTTGTCACCCGGCATATAATCTATTCACTATTTTTTTATACAAGGTAAGTCAATGATAGTGTGAGGTTAGAGAGAAAAAAGAGGTCCATTACCACATTCATTGTTTTAAGAAATGCAAAAAAGTAAAATTAAATAGTTTTAAAGAATTTAACATTATTCTTGAGTATAGATGGTGTTTCCAAATACTTGCCAGGTAAAACATAGTTTTTTAATGTAACACTTGTCTATCTTTTAGGTTAGTTATTTTTTTAGTTTTAGTTTTAGTTTAGTTATTTTTTAGGTTCTGCAGAAAATATTATACATGTTTTCAAAATAATATAATACGGTTAAAACTAGTACCTTTCTTAATATTTAATATATTTTAAATACTAGTGTCAAGTAAAATTTTAAATTGTAACAGCAAAAAATCTCTACTTTTTCACATGACACCCATCATTTTCTGCCACATTATTATTTATTCTAATAAATTCTATATACAACTATTCATTTTTTATTGAGTATACCGGGTGCGTCTCAAAAGTGGCTCACCCCTATAACTTTTTAATTTTTGCAGATAAAAAAACAAGATTTGGTGTGTTAGTATATGACATAAATTTGTATTGATTGACGTATTCAATTGTTTTTGGTCACTTCCTGTTTCACCGGAAATGACTGCAACTTTTGATTATTAAATGGCACCCTCGGTATATTTTTTTTACTTTATTCGATAGAAAATGACATTCTGAATAGAATGACATATCATATGTCAACTTTTGACTTTCTCGCTTAATAAAAAATCATATTTTAAAATTCAATCTAGAATGCCATGGCTATGTTAAAAACACAATTCTTAATCAAGGAAGCCTTGGAAAAATAGATTTGATCATATAATGTTCTTAGTATCTTATCCTGACCAGTTAGAAAATGCTCAAATCGTATTTTTAATCATATCTCAATTTTTTCAAATAATACGAGGGTGGCTCATTTGCATATTTGAAAAAAGTATTTTTTTACGAATAATTTGATGCCAGACACTTGGTATTTCGAGTCAAATTTTCGTTACGAACCGCAAGTTATAGTTTCAAATAATCCATATGCGAAAATGTCATAAGTTGCCATATGATATGTCTTTCTATTAAGAGTGTTATTTTCTAATGCATAAAGTAAAAAAATACTGAGGGGGCCATTTAAAAATCAAAAGTTGCAGTCATTTCCGGTGAAACAGGAAGTGACCGAAAACAATTGAATACGTCAATCAATTCTAATTTATGTCATATACTAACATACCAAATCTAGTTTGTTTGACTGAAAAAATATAAAAGTTATAAGGGTGAGCCAGTTTTGAGACGCACCCGGTATAGTAGTACCCTTTTATAAGATTTTTTGTCGTTGCAGAGAATTTATTAACAGGTCCTTAAAAATATTTTTAATATGCCATCTGAATTAGTCCTTTCTCAGTAGTTAAATTTGTTATAGATATTTAGTGTTAAAATCGCCCAAGTGGATATAGTAAACGCCACGAATGTTTGGGAGTGATTCATCGCTTGATGAAGTTAGAATCGACACGCGCGCTATCATTTTTACATTAAAAACGTAAATTTTTACCGCAGACGTAGGTTTTTAAAGGCCCGGTCTAATCATCTCTCTGCGCTCCTCCTACTTATTCTAAAATGTTAGCGTGATTGACAAAGACGATACTATATCGCGTTTCTTTGATTGATTCGTTTTTGTGCGTTAGGCCATTGGTGTGCTTGCAGTGCGACCAATGGGGCATTCCATTTTATATTTATAACCAAATATATGTTTTGACCTTTGAATAAGAAGACTAAGGAAGGAGCATAATGCTATCCATGTATTTATGCATGGTGGGCGGAAAAGCCACCATAAAAGCTCTCTAGGGTGGGGATCCTTGACAGTTCTGTTTGACGATTAATTTGACACATTTGAATTTGATTTGAAATTTTGTGGATTTGTCAGTCTTTACGGAGCTTATTTTATGTTATTTATTATTTATTCTACTACTGATAGTTGTATAAAGGTAGTAAATCTAGATGGAAATTGTGGCGGAACTTAAATTAACAGTGACACTATCGCGATTTATCGAAAAAGACTCTACAATAGTTGGTTGTGTAGCGTGCGGTAGACTCGGCAAAAATTGAGTGAAATAATGGAACAACTTTTCGCTAGTAAGTGACTATATAATATACATACGTGTAGTAAACCGATCATTTATGAAATTCACTTAAATTAACTAAATTATATATTTTTCTTGCATTTTTAGCTTTTATTTATTGCTTGTCAAAGATTAGATGTCAAAGAATTTAGATACGTTAATTTGACTTACATGCTTCAGTAGCGTATCGGATGTTTGTGTTAATAAATACTTATTATAACTTATCTATTTTTATTAGAATTATATATTTTATAACAATTTTAATAACTACCAACATTTATTCACAACGTAAAATAAAACAACAAATTATTGAGTCTACCCCACGTCTACCCTACATCATAGTTTTACATTTTTTAAATAAAATTAGAACGACACTGATAAACCGGAATTTAAGTCGGCCATATTTGAGGCCCATCGCGGTGTACCTAAGATTTTTGATATGCTCCTTCCTTAGTCTTCTTATTCAAAGGTTTTGACAAGACTTTGACAGTTAAAACAACAAATTACAACAGATTATATATTGATTATTATATGACTTGAAATACCACGGCACTGGAATTAAGTTTTATGTGACCTTGAACAGATTAGTTCACATGGTAGCGACCGATAAATCACTCCCAAACATTCGTGGCGTTTACTATATCGATTTTAAGTAAAACAATAAAATAAACATATATTCTTACAATTTACTTACTTTAAATTGAGTTGGCGGAATATTTAAAAATGCCACAAAACAATGATTATTTACAGCTTGAAGAAGCAAGAAAAAGTTGGTTCTATGTTCAGGAAACTCTTCAAAATCCTTATTAATCATTTTCAAGGGTACACTCAAAAACTGCATCAAAATTTTAGGTATCTGAAAATAATAATTTTGTGTAGTGATTCAAAGCTGGGATAATAAGATTCTTTAATACTACCTCCACAGTAATATGACCTTCTAGCTTATGGACTATTGTGGCAATAGCACTTAGTACCTCAGGTTCTCTTGCACAAGGCACTGTAGTTCGCTGGTAATCTATCAAAACTGCATCTAGAAAGGGAGGTAGAAAGTTCTCTAAAACCATAGTGTTGTCATTTGATTTTGAAATCCAATCAGCAATAAGTTTAAGAGTTTCCTTTTTAACAACTCGCATAGCTTTTATCAGAGGTTGTTTCGTAACGGCTTCTCCATTTAAAGTTATAGCTGCAGTTATATTCTCTGACATAACCTGAAATTAAAAAATAATCTTATCAAAAATCATAAGTCCCTATTAATTATTATTGCAGTGCAGTAGCGAAATACCCATAAAGGATTTTTTTGGATAGATGAATCCGCCACATAGGTATAGACATTTTTTATATTAGATATATTTTTAATGTTATGTTTTTAAAGCATTTACATTTTTAAACGGAAATGTAAGGTTTTTTACAAATTTAGTTAAGTTGATTTATACTATTTTGTTCGATGTGAATTTTAAGGTACCTATATTTTTTTTCGTTTTTTCTTTGCTTGTGCTCATTGGCGTTCATTGTTTGTGTTTATGTTAATTTTCTCATGACTGATTATTTAATAATTTAATATTATTTTCACTTATAATATCACAAGAGCTTAAATTATTTTCGGAAATTTTTTTGAGGGCACGAATATTTTGAAAATTATCCCGAGTCGAAGACAAGGGATAATTTTCCTAAAATATTCGTGCCCGAATGAAAATTTCCAGGAATAATTTAAGCTTGCGTGGTATTCGGTAAGAAAATTTCACACCTAAATTTGAAAAAAAAAATATTAATCCAACATGACATTTTAAAATAATTTCAATTTGTTAAGTTGGCAAGTTATTGCTAAAACTCAAATGGGTAATATTTCAATATATAGACATTGTAGTTCATTCACATTATGATTGTAGATCTTATGTTTACCTTTTCAACTGTCAAAAAATTTCCACTAAAGTTTCGTGGCGCCTCGAAAAAATTTCCGGAAATTTTTTCAGTTGCCATGGTAACTAGTCAACATTAAAGCATGTTATTGGTTGAAAAGTAGAGGTGTGAAATTTTCATTAAAAATTTATTTTTTTATAGATTTTACTTTAAAAAACCATCCCTTGCTTTCTGATTGATGATGAACTGCACCATCAGTGCACAAAAATTAGCTAGTACCAAATAAACCGAGAAATCCCGGTTCTTTAGGGGCATGGTACCGAAGTTCCCGGTTCCGAAAAACAACTTTGGTTCTCTAGTGGTATCCTAGTTCCTATAAACCCTAGTAGTATACTAATAAAGGGAATGTCAGTATCATTTCATTATTTCATGTATAATTTGTAAAGTTTATATGTTTTGAAATAAATATTATTATTATATACAGGGTGGGTCAATGGAAACTTTCCACCCCAATTTTTCTCGTTTAAAATTAAAATTTGGAAAAACGCTCGGACACGTCGATTTAGTTTTCGAGGGGGATATAAAAATATCATAAAATCACTTTCACACCTACAACCCCCAAGGCGGGAGCGGCGCCACCCCTATATTCTTAAATGGAAAGGGGGGCCGAGTGATACCTCACGTGAAAGGTCTTTTAATTCCCTTTCTAATGATATAAGATATAATGTACTTTCGTTCAGTAGTTTTAGAGATTTATTGATTTAAAGTAGATTTTTAATTTATCAGCTAAGTGGTGAAAAAATCGTTTTTTATTTTTTTTTTCTCTCTGTATGTATTTTTTTGGCAAACTTTGTGTACTAAAAATTTTAATTAATCAATCTGCATCGATCCACGCAAAAACCTTTCAATTCGGAATAAGTGAAAAAAGCTCAATTTTGGCTGGGAAAATTTTTAGAAATATTAAAAAATAAAAAAAAAATAAGCTTTTTTATTTAAAAGCTTAATTTTTAGTATACACAGTTTGCCAAAAAAGTACATACAGAGAGAGAAAAAAAATAGAAACCGATTTTTTCACCACTTAGCTGATATATTAAAAAATCTACTTTAAATCAATAAATCTCTAAAACTACTGAACGAAAGTACATGATATCTTATATTCTTATATCTTTAGAAATGGAATTGAAAGGCCTTTCACATGAGGTATCGGCCCCCCTTTCCATTTAAGAATATAGGGGTGGCGCCGCCCCCGCCTTGGTGTTTGTAAGTGATTTTATGATATTTTTATTTCCCCCTCAAAAACTAAATCGACGTGTCCGAGCGTTTTTCCAAATTTTAATTTTAAACAAGAAAAATTGGGGTGGAAAGTTTCCATTGGCCTACCCTGTATATGTACCCCAGGATGTTGTTTGCATATAAGTTTGGATGGTGTTTACGGGTTTTGTAATTGTTAACTTGATTGCCAATTGAGGCAATTTTTGCAACTATATTTTTTCAAACTGAATCCAGGGATTTGTCGCCCTTATAATAATAATAATATATTAGTTATTATTGTAATACTTCCATAAAATACGAATCACAAAAGGCAAAACTGAAGCATTACTTCCTATCTTAACCTGTGCTAAACTTAATTAACAATCTTTGCTACACTAAAGTTTATAAAAAAAATTATAGTAAGCTGACTAAATGAGGTAAGCTGGCTTCTATGCATTTAGCCATCAAACAGGTTTAAACTGGAAATCTCACAGCGCTTCTTGATCATCAAGGAGCCTCCAATCTTTCATTGAAACAATTATCTGTCTGAATTATTTAATTTAAGGAGTAGCATGTGTCCGAATTTAAAGAGATTACATTGTATATCAAACTAAAATTTGAACAATACTTACTTTATAAACATTCAGCATATCCAAATAAATTCGACCAAGCTGCAATACATATGCATGATTCAATGCTTTGCAAGCACGCACATTTGTTTTTAATATGCTGGCAAGCTGTTTAACTACCTCAATCTCTTTAAGAATATCAACATTTTTACTGGCTTGACTAATAATGTCATCCCAAACCTAAAAAAAATATATGAAAATATGGAAAACTATTAAACATTTTAAGTTTTACTTGATTTGGTAGAAGCATGTATTTTTCAATTAAAGCTTCTTGTGTAGGTTGGTCCACTTGAGCAGATATCATGTAACCCACAGCTTCATAGAATGTCTGAATCTGCTGTGGTTGTAAGTCACAAATAATAGTAGAAATAGATGCCAATATATCTTCTATAAAAGGGCAGGATTCACCAATTTGTGTACTCACAAAATGTCTCCTGCATTTCAGTGCAATCTTAATGAAAGTATCACAGGCCATATCTTGTACACCATCGTGTGTCTCATGCATAAATTCAAACAATTTATTGACCACAGTCTTTAAAAATTTCCAATGAGCTCTTAGAAACCTTGGATACTGTCCCACTACATACATAATATTTGAAGCAATAATTGCTTTATTATCTTTTCCTCTTTTATGTTCGCAAAGGAGTAATAAATCTTTTATAACTGTAACTAAAAATCGCTTTTCATCTTCTTCGTGCATAGCTCCAGATATACTTCCAATAGCCCAACACAAAGTGTTAAGATTTTTCCAAGACCACTCAGTTCCATCTACTTGATTCTGTAGTTTGGAAGTCATAATTCTTTCTGTATTGGCATAATCCAAATGTGTTAAATATACAAGTGTCTCCCTCATATTCTTATATAAATTAATAGAATCAGTATCTTTCATAAACTCTCTTACAACTTCCCCATTGTCATTTTCAACCACTAATACTTCTTCTGGTTTAGCCATTCGAGAAATCATTATGTATCTTACTTTGTTTAACACTTCCTGATATAAAAGTCTGCGGCTAGGATTATTATAAAAAAGTGGCGCTCCGGCAACCATATGTTGAAGTTCTGCATCTCTATAGAGCTCTGAAGATAAACTATTCCAATATTCTAAACAAATTTTAAAGATTTCAACCTCATCAACTTCAGAAATAAGAACCAAATATTTTAGTGCATTTCTTAATATAGCCTCTTGACTTTCAGCTATGCTCGCATGTTCTTTCAAAAATGTACATAAAAACAATGCCAAGTTTTGAATAAAATTTTGTTCTTGATCTTGACCACACGAATATGCTGTTTTAATATCTGTACTTAAAGGTAACATAACTTCTAATTGTGCCATAGTTTGACTAAATAAAGTGAGTGACATATCATTATAATTACTAACAGTTACTCCTGCAATTTCTGTCAAACACTTTAATGTTACATTTCGAAACATCGGAACTGGGAGGAACTTTAAGGTAAGTGTATGTATTAATTTTGTTTCAAATATATAGCCCAAAGGAATCCAATTAAGAAAACGTAACAGAGTTTCAAGTGTTGCATTAACCAGTGGAGGATTTTGTGAATTTTCTAGTACAAACTGACATAGATGGAAGATTGCAGAAAACTCAGAACACATTGTATCTTTTAAATGCCTAGCTTTTGTTTGTGTAATTTGTCCAGATGAGAAATCGAACAATTCCTCACTAAGTAATTTTAAAATTATCATATTATTCTGACATAGGCTTTCGTTGGTTTTACTAGCACCCACAATGTCAGGTATAAAGCTCTCCCAATTTTTGGGCCATTCCCGCTTCAACACTTGAACCAGTATCATATTTAATTTATTCAAATATGTTTTATTAGCCTCAAGTGATTCTGGATCTGAGCTAGTTTTAATAATTAATGATACTATGTACTTTTTTATTCCTTCACACTGATGTCTTGGTAATATTTTCCATCTTGTCTTGATGACCTGTTCTAGTATTTGTAAAGCAAAATATTTTGTTTGTTGGTTATTGGAATATTCTAATATCGTATCAACTCTTGTCCATGCGTCTGGATGTTCTTTTAACGTAGTTAGTACCTCTTGTGCTATTTTCTGTGTCTCACCATTACCTGCATACATACTAACTACCACACTGTCCAACAAATTAATGTCCAACTTCTGGTTAAAATTAAGCAAAGCAGCTGCTGCTTGCTGACAAAGCGGTAAAGTTGCCATTGTGTTTGCTAACTTTGTACACTCCAAGTATTCTTCAGAAATAATCAATCATTCCCTTAGTTCTAAAGCTAAAATAAACAAAACCATGTTTAGAAACGTACATTTCTTAAGTAAGAAGCTAATATTTCTATCAAAACAAAGTTGAAAATCTAACCCTAAAATTACGTTCTTAAGTATATGTACTATTTAAAAGCGTTACAACCCTCTTCAGAACCCAAAGTAATACCGCTTATATAGAAAAAATATTACTTATAATAAACAAGAAAGAAACAAAATCATATTCCTTAAATTTTGATGGTATGATTTCAAAATTTTCAGGGCGCTATAGAAGATATAAGAGGGACCGACGCCAATCTTGTGGATATTATACCGAATAAACTTTTAAGTTTACTTACTGTTGTATCTGATTTTTTAGATAAAACACAAAAAGAACACCACACTAAATAGAAACTCTCACCACAAAAAGCGCAAAAACCAAAAACGACATCCGACATTAAAAGTTTGTGGGTCTCATAAGGTATAGAAATTGCCGAAATCCTAAAAATATAAAAATAATAAATACGTTTAATTACCAATATTAATATATTGCAAAAATGAGGTAATCAGAATGATTCCTTTGATTTTTATTTCAAACCAAAGAATGAAACTTAGTTATAGTTATTAAAAATTATATGAAGAAAATTATGTTTCCTAAATGAGAATTTCGGTTATATAAATTGTTCAGTAACATGCTGTCAATAGTGTCAATGTTGACATTTTCTATACAGAGATCTACATTTTAATCTCTGTATATTTTTCATAGTTTTACAAATCACTGATAGATGGCACTGAATGTCACACTGCCACTGCACTGCCATTTATGCAGATTTCAACAGAAATTCAAATACCCTATGATCGAAAAATAAACGGCTTTGAGTTAGCTAGGAAATATCGTTGACTATTAATTATTCTTCGTATAAATAATTTTACATACAAAATGACAGTAATTTTAATTTCCAATTTCCAAGCTAGCTCTGATACTGATTTTTTTTTCGATCGTATATGATATTTCAAATTTACAAAAACTCTTTCAAAACTCATGAAAAACCTAAATCCAACGACGACGGCGGAATCAGGTCAAAGGGGTGCGTGGCTAGATAGAAGACTAGCGTCGACTGGTCTCAACCTGGAGCACCATCAGGGGGCAAGCCATTGTATTCTCGTCTCCCTTACTTCTAAATGCGGGGCTTTATAGAAGTGGACCGACTAACCCTTGCGGCTGACCATCTTTTCCAGAACTCCAATGGCGAGTCATCAACTCGAGGGAGGAGGTCATAGTCAGGTCCTCGCAATAGGAATTGACCTCAAATCCAAGGAGGTAATAGAGAAATAGGGATATATCCTCAGTTATAGATTCGGGACAACACCGGTATCAGGTCTAAGGAGATGCCAAGTTAAAGCGGTGGAGAAAATGGAGACAGATCCTCCAAACCAGCTCCAAACTCCACCTCAAGAGCACCTCAGTCCACCCTCAGTCGGAGACAAGCTGCTGGACTGTGAAAGGCACGGAAGGCTAAACCACAACCGCAGAAGGGTCGTGGTCGTGTCATAGACTTAAAATAAAATATAGACTACACTATTTACATCTAAACGCAGTCAAACAATCTTTTTTGTACACATGTTTACTTCTGGGTACAGTCGACCGAGCCTTCCTCATCCAGCCTATGTTGTCACGTCTTTAATATTATCAATATTTTTTTTCTTGTTATACACATATATTGAGATATTAATACAGCATTTTAATAAAGTAGATTTTAATAAAGTAGAGGCGAGGTCGCCCATAAATGATAAAACAAGAATAGCGGTCAGGTTAATTATGAAACAGCTTGCTGCCTGCACCACGGCGGAGCCGGGGACATTTTGACATGACATATGACATGACAATTTTCTGTTTTATGAAATTTATTTTCTGCTTCAGGTTTGACGGCGGTGCTACTGTTAGCTTAAATGAGTTAATACCGTTTTACTCTTTTCTAGTAGTAATAATATGTAAATCGACCATTTACATTTGAATTTAACACAATCGTATCAATATTAAATCAGTTCAATCGTAGAATATAATACCGCTAAATTATCGTTAGAGATGCTGGCAGCGAATTGCAACAGCGCATTGACTTCAGCAGAAACTTCGATAGTCGGGGCAGCCATTGTTTTCACGGAATTAGTAGTAACAGCATTGACTTACAGAAACTTGAAGATAACAAGCCACAGCTTCACGGGCATAAACTAAATAACTGGAAGCAGGAAATCGGTGCAACCGAACCCGTTCATTAAAACCTGAATCAAAATATAAAAAATAAATATAGGTACATAAGACTTTTGTGAATTAAATCAAACAGGACTTGAATGAAAATAAAATGAATAATAATGATATTGATACATATAATCTATTCATTTGTATTTTAAAAATATTGTTATACATACATAGCATGTATTGCTATGAAAATACATAATAGGTACCATCTTGTGATATGTAATTACAAGCATTGTTCATCTGTAGAAGTTTAATGCAGTACTGTCAATGGTTTGCACTTGGGTATAACCTGCTTTCAATTGCTTAAAACCACCGATCAGTCTTTGCTAGGATATGGAAAATCCTGGCAAAGAATGTCTACCAAGATCCTTGTTTAAAGCTGTGTCAGTTAAATATTACCTATTTTTACCTATTGGACGGCTCCATACCTGCTACACGCAGAAACGTCGATTTCATCATTTTCTTCATAATTAATATCATATACTTTATTAGTAGCGTTCACAAGCGAACTTTATATTGTAAACATCTTTAAAATTTATATAAATTTCAGCCGAAATATCAGAAACAACGGCAATCAGTCTAAACGGCAAAATGGCGCTCGACGCTTGCAGATGATGGGGACAAAGATGACGACGGCTGGTCAGTTTCGCAGACAAAAGAACAGATACGCATCAGATTTTTCGTAGCAGAAATTGACAGGCTCATCATATAGAAATATTCATTTTTGTCTAGGACAGTCTAGGAAGGACATGCTTGCCACCGGAAAACCGCGAAACAGTTGTGGCGCGGTTCTACCCAGGCAGAAAGCATGGCCTTCTAGGGACTGTCCTAGACAAAAAATCTGAATATTTCTATATGATTTCTGTCAATTTCTGCTACGGAACATTTTTTATGCACGTCGGCGTCCTGTTCTTTGTCTTTTGTCTGTGTGTCGAAGCGTCAGCTCCCGAGGCCTCTGGCAAGGTCGGGCGCCATTTTAATTTTTGCCGTTTAGATTTGATTGGAAGTTTGTTTCTGATATTTCGGCTGAAATTTATAAGTACAAAGATGTTTTTTGATATAAAGTTCCTTGTTAACACTTTAATAAAGTATATATGATATTAATTACATGAAGAAAATGATGAAATCGACGTTTCGGCGTGTAGCAGGTATGGGCCATATTATAGGTAAAAATAGGTAATATATTAACTGTTTTTATATTTTTTTAGCTTTAAACCCAAGGATCTTGGGATATTCTTTCAAGGATTTTTCCGTATCTCTACTTTAAAGACTGATCGGTGATTTTGAGCAATTGAAAGCAAGTTATACAAGGTAAATTATGATTATTGAACTATTATTAGCCTACGTTAAATTTCTACAAGATGAACAGAAATGCGTAATTACATATCACATAGGTACCTATTATGTATTTTCATAGCAATAATGCTATAAATCTATGTATGTAGATTATTTTTAAAATACAAATGAGGTATTAGATGTATATGTATCATATTTTTTATTCATTTTATTTTCATTCAAGTCCTGTTTGATTTAATTCACAAAAGTCTTATGTAGGTACCTATATTTATATTTTTTACATATTTTTTTTGATTCCAGGTTTTGTGTGGGTTCCGGTTGCCTTTTTCCTGCTTCCAGTTATTTATCCGTGAAGCTGTGAAAACATTTATTTATCTTCAAGTTTCTGTAAGTCAATGCACTGTTACTTTACTAATTCGCTTTAACACAGCATCTCTGATATTATTTAAATATTTAATATTGATACAGTAGTTTATTGGTTTATAGCTCTTTAATTGTGTTGATTTGCATATTTACATTGTTCTAAATTCCAAATAAATATTTTTGAGTAATTTTGTTGTATTATTTACTACTAGAAAGAGTAAAAAGTATATTAACCCTCATTTAAACCTCCCGAACAGCCCGCCATTAAAAACCGGAAACGGAAATAAATTTCATAAAATTGAAATTGTCATGTCTATGTCATGTCAAATGTCCCAGCCGCCATATCTGAAAATTAGTTACCCAGGCAGCCACGCTGTTTCCATAATTTAACATTGACTTGACACTTCTTCTTGTATTTATTATTTTATGCTGTCACCCCCCTGAGGTCGCCTATTCATTCATTTATTACCTTGTAGTACACGTCGCACGTGTGCGGTAAAGCTTTGTTGCCGCTATGTCCCCGGCTGTATTAACGCATTTTCTTAGCTTGTAGTCCGATCGCTTGTGTTTATTTTATTTACTTTTTCTGTTCAAGAACTATCAAATATGGTTCGCCTGTGCTAAATTTGCAAGAAATTTGACTTAAATAATCCATTTAAGTCTTGAAACGACTTTCGACCGGTAGGCAACTCTCAATTTACCCATTAGGATTCAGTGGCGTTGTTGTAGAAAGGCGCTTATTTAGATAATATTTTAGTAAAATGTAAAATCTGAATTTTTTCTCTTACATAATCATTCATATATAGGTTTTTGTAACAAAATCATAATTATAACCCTGTAAATAATTAATAATGTTTTTATTAAAAATATATTCCGGTTTATTCTAAAATTATCTTCAGAATCTAAAATAACATACAAGAATAAAAAATCTAAAATAACATACAAAAATGGTTCACACCTATAACTTTTTTTATTTTTTCAGATAAAAAAAACAGATTTGTATGTTAATAGGTATATGACATAAATTAGGATTGATTGACGTATTCAA